ATGGACTGCCCAACCTCGTAGCTGTCCTTTATCAGTGGTTCCTAGAATGCTATGCTATGGAGCCAATCATTCTTCAGAACATAGCGCTCTCAGCCGTGCGTTATCCGGCTGTGACACGACCAGGGGAAAATTACATATCAAAGAAAAGTTCAAGAGCCACGACTCGTCGAGATGATGAAAGGGTCTATCCACATGGTCCGAAAGCACACGGATGCGGGATGGGGGGCTCTGCATTCGATTCGATGTGGCCCCTTCGCCCCTCGGATGGCGTTCAGTAAATTTGACCTCACGCATGGCTCTTCTTTGCTTCGAAAACGCGTCGCTGAATGCTTCTGGTTTGAATTCTAAGATCGTCCAACGACTGCTATGCTGTGTGTAGCCCCTACCGACGATATTCGAAGTACGGGTCACGAGGTAGCGAACTGACGCCATGTTCCGTCCGCACTCGGGTTCGGTGGCTGATTGAAGATATGAGATGTTCCACTTTGGCGGGATATAAGAATCTCCATGAAGTCTCCGCGTCCCCAGGTTTGTCCCTTTCGTTTATCGCCTGTTACTCTTTAGAATCAACCGCTACCTAGTGACACCATGACTGTCACCACAGCTTTCGCCAATACCATTCCCGGTACCATCCACCTCGTCGACCTGGCCCATACTATGCATGCTCGACATGCCGGCAATGGTGATATCGTTCTGCATCCAGCTCCGTCTAGCGACCCCGATGATCCGCTGAACTGGTCTCCTCGAAGAAAATTGCTTTCCACGATCTGTTCCAATGTGTGAGTGTTGTTTCAGACTGATCACAATAATGTCGGCTGATTTTAAACCAAGGTACACCTGGTTTACCGGTATTGCCATATCCACTGTCTATTCTGTCCTAGTGCCAATTTCTACAAATACCGGCCTTTCGGTTTCCACTCTTATTGAGGGCACTGGGTATATGTTCTTGTTTCTCGGTACGCCATAGCCTCAAGAGCAGGTAATTTGAGATCTGATGATAGCGATATAAGGATGGGGTCTGCTTTTCTGGCAACCTCTGGCGCTGAAATATGGCAAACGCCCAACCTACCTCATATCAGTTCTGGGTGCTATAGTGAGCATTACCCGTGCATGAGTAAGTTGAAAGCTGACCATGTCGCTAGGGTACAAGTATCTGGAGGTATGGCGTACTTGCTGGGCGATAGTATCTCCATGGCCACATCCTGACTGTCAATAGCGCCTATGTTAAGAGCAATGGAGAGTGGATCGCAAGATGCATTCTCATGGGGTTTTTCATTGCGCCAATTGAAGCACTTCCTGAAATCTCAGTCACCGATATTGTATGTGTGCGATCTCCGTGACTACTTCTCAACGCCCCCCCGAAAGCTGACCGCTTCTCAGTATTTCACCCATGAACGTGGTAAGTACATGGGCCTTTATGCCTTCTCACTTGGAGGCAGTAACTATTTCGCCCCGGTCATCTGCGGATTTATAGCGGAGGGCCAGGGATGGCAATGGGTCTTTTACTGGGCGGCTATCTTCCTTGCTGTGGCTTTTGTCTTCCTCTTTTTCTTCATGGAGGAGACAAACTACAACAGGAGCACTGCTGGCGTTGTACTGACACCGTCACTGCCGCCTGAAGCAGCGATTGGGAGCGAACAAGAGAGTAAAGTCTTTGGCAAGACTGTCCCGACAGAGACCGGCGAGATCGAAGCTGTCCCCAAGACTGTCCCGACAGAGAACGGCGAGATCGAAGCTGTCCCCAAGACTCGGCTCCAAAAATTGTCGCTCTGGAAACCCGATCACAGTCAAAGTATGATCCGACGCGCCATCCGGAGCTTGAGATATCTTGGCTGGCCTGTCATCTTCTATGCAGGCTTCAGCTATGGCTCCTACTTGGTCTGGTTCAACGTGCTCAATGGAACAACTTCGATCATCCTTGGAGGCTCGCCTTACAACTTCCCGCCTTCGATGGTAGGACTGAGTTATCTGGCTTGCATTATTGGTTTAGTCGGCGGTTGCGTTATCTCAGGCCCTGCAAGTGACTGGCTGACAATCAAGCTGGCTCGTCGAAACAATGGCATCATGGAAGCAGAACATCGACTGTGGCCATTCTCAATCTGCGTCATTGGGATCCCAGCTTCCCTAATTCTGTGGGGAGTAGGGGCCGCACATCACATTCACTGGTTCGGTCTGTTGGTGGGAATTTCCACTTTGACCTTGTGTAACACTATTGGCATCTCGCTCAGCGTCAACTACATGATCGACAGCTACCATGAAATTAGTGGTGACGCCATTGTGACTGTGATCATCGTACGCAATACCATGTCATTCGCCGTCAGCTATGGGTAAGTCATCCAGCGCTTACACTGCTCATGCTAACACCTTTCAGCATTACCCCCTGGCTGACGCATCTCGGATACCAAAATTGCTTCATTTCCGCAGGTTTTGTTGGTATGGCTGCTTCATCTGTCTTCCTCTTAATGATCCTTTACGGCAAGAAAGCCAGAATTCGGAGCGCGGCCAGGTACTATGAGCTAGTGAATGTAAATGGAGCAGATGGTAGGGCGAATTGAGAGGATGGAAGAGAAGAAACGACAGATTCGCAGCTTTCACTACACAATCACAAGGTCACTCCACCATCCTTAGCCGAACAAGTCAAGCTCGCATTGCAGAATCTCAGAAAATGCGTTGCCGCGGCGGGCGCCACGCCAGCGGATATCGTCAAAGTCCAGCATGTCGTAGTCAATCTGAATCCGCATGATAAATCCAGGGCGGAGGCTTGTATGGAATTCGCAAGTTCGGCTTTGCCAAATGGGTTTCGGGTTATCCGAGTCTTTTGTGAGGTATCGCATCTGCTTTTGCCGACACCATTTTTCACGATCCTTTTTTTAGATAGGCAATCATCGGCCACCAAGCACTCTGTTGGGATTGGCAGCATTGGCTGATCCGAGTTTGTTGTATGAAGTATGAAGTTGAAGCTATGGCGATTGTACATTGCTCAAGACAAAGCAAATTAACGGCAGCATGTTCGTTAGTGAAGGTGGTCAAGCACAGGATCGTCGCTGCCCTTTTTCAGTCACGAGGCAGACTTAGCACGGTCTGTCCTCACTTTTTTGGTCCATGCTTACGTTCTCAATTTCATCTCTTCATTTGATGGTTCTCAGGCCTCAGCTCGATCCTGAACCTTCCACTACAGAGCTACACCTCGTTGTGACTTAGTCAAGCCTCAAGAGTCAAAAGTGGCGAGCTGCTTAAGCCAGAAACAGAAAAAGAAAACAATCGTTTATTCGATATTCTCTCGTCTTCGTTTACTTAATACAAATAGTGAGTACTCCTTTTATTTATAAATACCTAAGAGTAGCACTCGATACTTTTCTACTCTATTTTTATATAGGAGTGATATATAAATAGCGCTCGAGATATCTATTCTCTTCATAGAGAATAGAGCTCTTAATACACTCTTTTGCGCAGGTCTTCCTAGTTTAACACTTTCACAGTAGTAAGCAGGAGTATTGGTTGTGACTTGCAGCGGGCATATAGTGCAAAGGGTGTCTTGGCTTAAACAAGCGACATCAGTACATCTAAGCGGAAATCACCTCCTTTACATTTCCAGATCAATGAGCCGCAGGAAGATCACTGGGAACAGTCAACATGACTTTCAAAAGGGCACAATATCCGGCCCACGACTATACACTTTCATCTCTTTCTCCCTCCGGGTTTTCTTTACTTTCATTTCGCTTTACACTTCAAGGACATTTAGTGGTCATCGCCAGCCACTGACCTCCACCAAATTCAACCATTGACCACTCCCATCGCTTTGATCAGATTTTGCTTCAGATCCAGATGGACACGGTCATACTGGCCAGCCTGTACACTCATATTCCACATTCCCATAGTCTCAACGCCTCTCCTCGCGACTTCAAAACGTATTCTCTCCTCGGAAGTCACTGGCGATTTGTCGCCTTGGTTGACGAGCCATAGGTCTGGTTTCAAGATGCCCGCGGCGTTAGACGGAATGAACAGGCATAGCCAGGGCGAATGGGCGTCGCGCTGGTTAACAGTAGCAAGATAGCGAGCCTACGCCAGAGTGTGACTGAGAATATCGTCCAGCTAATTTCATGTAGTTGAAAACTTGAGATCGTTCCACAGCCTATGGCCCAAAATAAAGAGGCACAGCTTCTTCAGTCGCGTGGGAGAGAGGAGGTTCTGGTAACGGTGTATTTCGTTGTGAAGTGTGTATCGGAGCATCATTTCGATGACCAGGTCGATCGGTGCGTCGCCTGGCAGGCTAGACTTGTCGAATTGTGTCCGAGAACCGGAACGGCGGGGAAGATCCCCCGGATCGAGTAGATGACTATCACCTCTAGAAACCTAGACCAATCCTGCTTAGAAATGATTCAAACCACCCCAGCCTGAGCTTAAGTAACTCGCTTCCACATCTTCGCTCCAACTCCACCGCTCCTTCTTTTGTCTCTCCATCCATGCCAAGCCAAACATTTCGGACCGGCCGAGGTTCATTCTGCTGATCTCTTCGAACACAGAATGAGTAGAGATGGTGGCAGCACCATGTTGAGGTCAAAGATAGGATGCATCACATGTGGGATTCCTCTCACCCGGCCACTACCTGCAAATTAATTTCCATACCAGGTCGGGCTAGACGAAAGAAATGTGACGAGGCACGCCCGTCTTGCCGGAGTTGTACTTCATCACTCCGCCGCTGTCAGTGGCCGACCGCAGATGAATTAGCCGACAGACGCTATGGATCTCATCGAGTTCAGAAACCCGTGTCCCCTACACCCCCAAAGCGGTCATCACCGAACGGCGACGGCCTTGCCGTGAGGGTCAGAAGTGCACCAGAGGTCTCCTCACTGGACTCAAGTCGCTGGCTGCTATCCGAATCTACGGCTCACCGAACACTCGCCCATGATCTAGAATCCGTCATTTCTCGGCATTTTGTGCAGAACTACTACCCGCTTCTCATATTACCCAATTCTAGTCCTGAGTTCTACTCGAGTTGGATGACCGATATCAAAAAGTTTATGGTACAGTATAAAGCCCTCCAGTACTCGCTTCTTGCGTGTAGCGCGTCCCACCTCCATTTCGTGGATGCTGCTCCGTGGATGCAGGAGCTTGCATTGGTTTACTACTCAAATTCCGTCAAAGGACTTTCAGAGGCATTAAGAGAGGGGGCTCAGTTGAAGAATGATGATGCTTTCTTGACGTCAGTTATTCTACTTTACATTCATGGGGTAAGTCATGCAATCTTTATCCGAAACATTGCATCTATTGAAATAGCAATAGCTAGCGACTTACTGACTTTCCTCCACCGTGTAGTGCATGGGTCGAGGCACTTACACTGACATACCCCTACATGTTAATGCAGCCACACGCATCCTCAAACTACGTCTGCTTAGCAGTTCTGGAAACATTAGTCGCCCGTTCGATCGACTTGCCATTGAGAGCGTCTTCTATCAGATTTTCCTTGTCACCACGGGCTCCTGGTCGGATCCTCTTGAACTCGATTATCACTTCGATGCCGGATTTTGGCTACAAGCGGAACGCTTACTGGCCCAATCAAACTTGTATCTCGGCTGTTCTATCGGCTTCAACAGTCCTGTCATCGGGGTCCCAATAGCTTTGGTTAGAATCGTCCTATCTCTCAAGCAATTCTATCAGAGCCCATCGCAGCCTGATCAAGGAACCCTAGACCAAATCAGAGCTGAGTTGGACGAATGGGAAAGCCTAGTGTATAGTGGCCAAGATTTGGACCACCTCTCAGAGCACGAACGGCCAATTCTCAATTTACAGATGTATAGAGACGCCGGGTATCTGTACATCCTTACCTCGTCTTTGTTACTTTATCAGTTGTCTGGAAAAACGCGGACACCTGGACCGCCTCAAGCAGTACCAAGGACTTGTTGGCAGATGAAAACGATCCTCCATATTCTTCGAGGATATCGAGATAATGATGACTGGGCAAGACTCTTACTTGGCAACTGGCCGGTCTACTCTGTCGGGTTTTTTATGAGTCATTCGGAGGATATATGGCTTATCCGAAACGATCTGCAGCGAAGATGGGACCTCGTCAAATTCTCTCAAGTTAGTCGATTCCGAACGGACTTGGAGTCTACCTGGAATCTACGAGGATATGACATCGACACTTCCTGCTGGTTAGGTCCCTAGTCAGCAATTATGGGCATCGCTCTACATGGCTGCGGCACAACATTCAAACAACCTTACCATCTCAGCTGGAGCTCTAAGAACGGTCTCCTTCACAAGTTCACGCTAGTATCAAGAAGCTAATACGCCCAAAACCTCGACAGTGCTGGACGCCATGCTAAATTGTTGAGAAGAAACGCTAGGGGTGAAAAATCCGCAATACACACGCATGTCTGCATTTCAGGGAGCCTCGAGCCACAAAGCTGGAAATTGACGATACTTGTTGAACTAGCAGTTCCTGTGCAACGTCACGGATTGGTCTGTCTATTTGTGGCCGGTCTCGGGCCGTAACTGATCGTTCACATATAACTCTGTTGAAGGGGACGGGGGTTCGGCTCCAAGAGCGTGGCTTGCCGATTCAAAGGCCTTGGTCAGTGCAGCGCAGAACTCTTTGGTCAGTGCAGCACAGAACTCTTTGACGATAGAGTGGCGGACGAGAACTCGTGATGCAGCTAGAACCGAGTCAATCGTCGTCTTTTCCGGGCATAATAGGATATGGAGTTCAACAGACGTGCACATATCTGCCCAGAATTGAAAAGAAAACCTTCTCCAACACTGTATCCCACCGTCAGATCAGTCAGCACGCCATGCCACACCACAGCGCAGGAGAAAATAAACGGGATGAAACGTTCTGTTCTCATTCCATCTAAACTTGCGCTTGGATAGCCTCCTCCATCGGCGCCTCTGGGAATACGACCACTGGTGACTTGCCACCCAGCTCTAAAGTGACCTGCTTGAGGTTGCTTTTCGTGGCTGCTTACAACAGAGCTCCTTGAAGGGTGGTCAGCTCCTTGAGGAACTAATACGCAGATATCCTTTTGAAAGTTGGTATTTGTCGACGACGTAAGAGAGCTACTTTGATAACGCAGTAAGTAATAGTAGTAAGATCGTCTTCTCTTGAAGAAAAAAGCCTCTAGCTACTATATAAATTTCCGATAATCGATGTTCTGCTGCAGTAGTATGCTTTTTGGGATGGCGAGTGCATAGTGTATTGCCGAATCATTTTTGGATTTCGTGAATCGTAGCTGCAATATTCCGCTGGTGAACATTCACTCGGAACTCAGCTAAACGAGGCCGCGACTGCCAAATTGCACACACCCGCTGTCACCAGCTCCAGGAAGCGACTTCATGGCCCCCTGCTGTGATCTGACTGGCCTCATACGCTGCTTGCCGGATACGGACCATCTGGGAGTGGCTTTCTATTGAGAGTCGAATGGTCCAACTACCCTTCATGAGGTGAGTATGAAGATTATGCGAATCTGTGAACTAGTCTCGGGATCTGCCGTAGGCATTTGAGCCGTCGCTCAGACCGACCCGGACTAGGTCCACATGCTAGGAGGGCAGTGAAGTAAAATACACCAATCGATCATCGTCGGATCTGTACTCTGCCCTGATCATTGGTCCTCGGTAGAGCTAGTGAGGCTTATTTATATGCCGTATGATAACTACATGCAGCAATCATTTGCCTGAATGAGAAGCGAGAGCACAGAGAGAAAGGCTAAGGGATCGCACTTCTTGACATTCTCGATGCTGGAGCCTATCATAATGGACACGGAACGAGTTGGCGGGATTTACACCAGGAGAAGAACCTGGCCGACAGGCTTTCTGGAATCCCAATTATCAAGCGAATCTTTGTTCAGGTCTTACTGGCGACCTCCGCAGTTAGGATGGAAACCTTACTGGATGACATGCCCGTGCATTTCATCTATTGGACAAGTGGAACAGATCAATGGTCATGAATTATCTGGACCAAACAGGCAGCACTTCCGAAAATTGATCAACTTGTAGTCGCCACACGGTTGGTGCAGAATTGGAAGGGTGTTCGGGATTCTGGGATCATGCAGAGAGACATGTGGAATGACCAAAAGGCCTCGGATTTGATACCGGCTCTGGGGCCATCCATCAGTTCGAGCATCGGATAAGGACAGAAATTTGCTTCGTAAGTGTTGAGGACATGAGTCGCGGCGATATTCCGTAGCATTTGCATACTTCGTACTCGACAGCTTTTGTCAAAGTGAATAAAGTCTATCCGATTCTCGCATCCAAAACTCGGTCTCTCCGACATCATTCATGCATTACCCGAGGTTGCAGCCAACCATGATTACGGATTCAGTCAACATTCCTGTCCTCAAGGACCTAACAGTGGAAAACATAACAGAAAACGTGAAGATAATCAATTCACAAGTCGATGATGTAAGGTTGAAATTTCTCTTCGAGAGGCTAGTTCAACACCTACACGATTATGCTAGGGAGACAAGACTCAGCACTGAGGAATGGGAAGCCGCTATCAGCTTTCTCACTAAAACAGGTCAGATTTGTACCGACGTCCGGCAGGTAAGCTCTTTACACATTCGACCGTAGTCAAAAGGGTTTTGATTTCAGAGCCAGGGCTAAGAAACTTAGGAATTTATCCTTCTGTCCGACGTCCTCGGCTTGTCTCTCTTAGTTGACGCCATCAACCACCCCAAGCCGCCCCATGCTACCGAGAGTACCGTGCTTGGTCCTTTCCATTCGCACGAAGCGCAGCTGAAATCGAATGGGGACACTGTGTCGCACGATCCAGAGGGTGAGCCATGTCTCGTTATCTCCACTATCAAAGATACTTCCGGACGACCACTGGAAGGAGTGAAGGTCGATGTCTGGGAAACAGACAGTAAAGGTTTCTATGATGTACAGTACAAAGACCGCCAAGGCCCTGATCAGAGGGCCGTATTGAGGAGTGACAAGGATGGTACGGTTTGGTTCAAGGCAATCGTGCCTGTGCCCTACCCAATACCCCATGACGGACCCGTGGGAAAACTCTTACTTCGCTTGAAAAGGCACTGGTATCGACCGAGTCATATGCACTTCATGTTTGAGAAGAAGGGGTATGATCATTTGATCACGTGAGTACTATCAACAACGCACCCCCAGCACTAGGAATTTGTCTAATCTGCTGATAGTGCGCTGTATCTTCGTGGCGATCCATATGAGTCGTCCGATGCGGTCTTTGGCGTCAAGGAGTCGCTGGTTGTTGATCTCACGACAGTCACCAAGGAGCAGGCCGAGAAATACGCAGTCAAGGAAGGTACGAAACTGCTGGCTTATGATTTTGTACTTGTGGAAGATCATGAGATGAGGAAACTGCGGGACCAAAATGCTTTGACCGCTCTCGCCGGAACGAAGCTGAAATTGTTGAATGGGTTGCCAGTGCCAGATATTGATTGATCAGTACATGTGCAACTCCTCGACAGTCGACAGTCAACCAAAATGGTCTCTGTGGTCTCAACACAGGCGGTATACAGCAGCAATAAAGGAATATGATATATCACAACGAAACTACAAATGGTTACTTGAGATAAGCCTACTTAGCACTGTTGTGTCTGACCCAAGCTCCAAGCCAGATCTTCCGACAGAAAGGAAGGAAAAAGTACAAACTCTCATCGCAGCGAACACGGCGGGACTCACCCTCGACCGGCCGCTTCTCCACTTCTCGTGACCTCCAAGCGCCTGGACGACTGGGTGCGACGGTAAAGGACAACACCGAAAGCCGCACAAGAAAAACACACACCCCTTCACGAAACGGTCCAAGGTCAAGTTTCCTGCTTCGTCCTCCGTCCTCTGCTTTGGCGTCGAGACGCCTCTACCTTCGCCGGCGGCTAAGTTCACCCCTTGAGATCTCGATCACCCGGGTGGCTTTGACCCTTCCGGGCAGCGGCTGTCCACGTTGTTTTCCCCATTTCATACCCTCCCCTCTCCCTGCATCTCGTCCGTTTCCCGACCACCTCGTCCTGCACAGGTTCCCACTTCTTAGCCGGCCCGCGGGTATCTCTCGCCGAAGTGTTCATTCCGCACTCCTCATCTGTCATCGTGGGTCGTGAATAGCAGCGCTATTCTCTTTCTAGGCACGTCGTCAACCATTCCGTGGGAATCAATATATTCAAGCCATTGGTGTGGTGGTCATTGGGGTATGCCATATAGGCAAACAAACAATGGTGCTGTACCGGGAGATTTGGTGATCGAGCAGATAAGATGCTCGGCAGATGGATCAGAGAGCAAAAGGACCGAGCCGGGTAAAGACTGCGCGTCCTCTCACCGGCGGTAACGACATCGAGGGATTGAGAGCGCCAGCTGGAGGAAGACTCTGACTCGGATCAGGTAGAGAAAGATCAATTTCGCTTTAGTGGTCGCCCGAGACCTGGCGTATAGCCTTGAAAAGGGCTGAGAGAGTCTGAGAGTCCTGAGAGTGAGGCTATAGGCATCAAGGACGGCGGTCGTGCTAGTTGATGTCGATGAGGAGGGTATATCGAGAGAGCATTTGAGGCAAATGATGTAGGCTGACAACAAGCGAGGGGAAAACCTCTGCGCGTAGTTGTACTAATGTCGTGTCGTGTATGAGGGCCATCAAAGGAGCAACGATATGAGACATTCTGCGTTTCATTAGGGTGCCAAGAGCCATGCTTCTCTTGACGGTGGAAAGCTGACCAGAGAAGTCAAACGGTTCTTGCCATAGTTCGCGCACCCGCTTCGCCACCAGGGGAAGCTGAAGAATGAGGATTTCGAACTCATTCGCGTCCTCATCATCAGGACATCCGTCATCTTCAGGTAGAAGCACTGATGCCTGGAGCGACAGACCGGGGGGCCGCCGGCATTCTTAAAAGTTTGTGCGTGTCGTCACCCGAAGCAACTCCTCCTTGGCCTTGCCGCCGCCTCCACTGCCTCCGTTCGTTCTTCCAGCGGATTCGGTCGCCGCGTCAGCCTCCCGCAAGGCAGGATCCGGGTCGGTGATCAATTCGCGGTCGATCCCACCGGATTTCAGGGGGTTTCAGCAGCTTGTGCCGTGAACATGAACGCAACGTCCGCAGCGGTGCGTCTCGGCAACGCCAGCAGCCTCATTTGAATACATGTTGAGCTTCGATTCTTATGAGCTATTTCTGCCATTGGCCCACACTGGACATGCCGTCAATCGCTCAGCCTGTGGAGGA